TAAAGGAAAAAAAATGGCCAAGCCTTTGGAAGAAGAGTGTGCTGAGAACTACTAAAGAAACAAGCTGCACCAGACTCAGGAAATCCCCAATACAAAAACAGCTGGATGTGGGCAAGGAGTCAGACTAAGCCTCATATATAAACTTATTCTGTTTCTGTGCACACATTTGCTTAGGGCTAGAGTCAGAACCAGGATACAGGGCAAGACGCACTCTGAAACAATTTATCACCACTGTTAGGTAGGATACAATTTGTAAGAAAGAACAACATAGAGTGGCTTTGCCATCAAAATACTCCCATCACTGGATTCTGACCACTATACACAAAAACATTACAAAAAAATTGTTTCAGGAAGGTGCAGCTGAGCTAATGCTACCAGGTTTCCAATAAGCTACACCAGGTTCTGTGATACAAGACATGGAGAGCAGCAGGAAAAGGAGAAAAATATTCTGAAAACAGAATTTGATGCATTTACAACAGCTCCCTGCAGACAGCAATCCACCCTTGCTCAGAGCACCTGCAGTGCACTTGACGTGCTTGTGTACAACAAGAGCAATCCTACCTGAGAGGCTTCGCAGTGAACTGTGATGAGCCCAGCTGGCCCCACGGCTCAGGGGTGCCAGGCACAGCCCTGCTCTCCCTCTTCCAGTTCATGCTCTCCCACTCCTCAGTTCCAGGCTGATCTGAAACTACACTGATTTCAACTACCTCAAGTAATAGAAAACAAAAGTAGCATCTGGGAAGCTGCCAGGAGTGGAGTGGATACTGCCACTTTCAGTATCATGAAGCTGTGATGTATCAGCACATGCATTTCATGAAAATTCCCACTACTTCACCTGAAGAGCTTTTGGTTAAACATGGAAAAAAAACCAAGCCAAAATGAAGTATTTAAGTATTTTTTACATCTTGTTCAAACAAACATGTTTATAGTTGAAAATACAACAATGCATACCAAGACCTCAGCATACTACGCAGTCAACTGAAATAATCTTAAATCATATTAAAAATGTAGAAGCAATATAGATGTTGCTAGAAAAATGTTAAGAGAAGTCTGATAAATACAAGCAGAAATTATTTAGTATGTACCTATCTATAATAAAGTTTACCTATAACAGAGTAACTGGATGCAATAGAATGAGAGGTGCTTAATTCTGGGGAGGAAAAAAAGACCAGAAACACACACATCTGTTTACTAACTATAGATAATAACACTTCCTCTTTCTCACTAAAATGCTTGTTTTAAATGCAAAACAACTTTTCTTCAAGTGTAGTCATCTAATTGAAGTTTGTGTTATTTAACTATTAAAGACACGTTAAAGTCCAAAACAGAATGAAACTTTAGCTTATTTCCCAGCAGCCCAGAGCTGGCAGGTTCACCTTTTCCAGATTTTCCTCAAAACAACAAACACCTTAAACACGTCAGTTGTAAAGCATTTTTCAGGACCACCTGAGAACAAATGTGGGCAACAGAGGGAAAGCACTGCATTTAAGAAAAATGGAACATCACTGACACAAAAATAACTACACAAAGACATACTGAGTGTTGGAAGAAAGGTCTCAATTATCAGAGCACTTGAAAGTCCCTACATTCAATTTATTTCTATCAGAGTAGAATGAAAATAAAGTTTGTTTTATAAGGCTGGACACTAAAGATTCCTAGAAAAGCAATAGGATGACTGCTTACAAATCAGGTAACCCTTTATTTTAAAGCAATGAGGTCCTGAACTTGGAAAGCCATTTATTCTTATGCAAAACTAAAAAATTTTGTTTAGTAACAGTGAAAGCCATCACAAGTCTGTAGCACCAGGGTAAGACTTAATGTCATCCATCTTTGAGGGAACAATAGCAACATTTTTCAAACTGAAGTCTGGATCTTCAATTTTCTTTTTGTCCAGACCAACCTTTTGTAGCACATCTACTTTCAAAAGACAAAGTAAAGAAAACCCAGGATTTTTTGCACAGTGTGCACCAGATCAGCAACATGAGCACAGTGTAGTTAACTGCTGCAAGACTCTTCCTTGCTGGACAAGTCAGCAGATTACATAAGCTTTGAATTTTTTAAAAATATGAACAAGCACACTAGCATGCCATTGTGAGCCTTAGGCCTTAGAACAATGGGGCACTTTTAAAAAGAATTTGAAATGCTCCACATGATATTGCTATGTAGAAGATAATGGCTTCATTTTACTTCCCGCTGTGTAGCAACAAAAATTTGTGTTATTTACAAGCTGATAATACGAGTGTTTGCTAGTTTATAGTATTTAGATACTGTATTAAAAAACATACAAGGGATTAAAAGCATTGAGACTTAAAAGGGGAGGGGTTTTTTTGAAGCGCACATGTGAAATGTAGAGAAATAGTAACTGTTTAAAGAAACAGAAATTCCATTGGAAAGTCAGAAATACAGTTCTCACTAGTTTCATTTTTCAGCTGTGTTTTTGACACAAGTTTTTCATCAAAAAAAGTAACATGAAAGTGAGTGAGTAGAAATCAATTGCAGAAGTTAAACTATCTTATCTGGTTTTACTCTGATGAAAAAGATTTTCAACTGCTTGTACTATGCATCTTGGTAGTTTAAATTATTTGTATTAAACACCAATTAATTTTATTTTTCACCTGATTCAATTTCAGGCAACCTACTGTGAGAAATTTACTTTGAATAAAAAAAGGATGCTGTTGAACATGGTGATTTCCCTCTGAAATTCTTCGTAAGGGTGACAGTTGTCTTGCATTTGTGCTTCTAAAAGGCCTTCCACAATGAGGTGCTGACCCGTACCAAGGAACACAAGCATTATCACAATTCAAATAAAGGCAGGACTAACTGCTGGATACAAAGACAGAAGTAAAGTAGTTAATGTTCTCAAGCTAGGGTTTTATAGAGAACTGAGAACAGTGCCTGTACACATATCAAGACAATAAAAAAATACAAAAGAAAGAAACAAGTCACATGTTTATAACCCAAGTACCTACTAATTTTCCCATGAAGCAGTTATACATGATGTCTTTCAAGATTACTGTGAACAAACACATACAGACATTACAGAATTCAATGTAAACCATATTCAACAAACAAAAGAAATAGAGGCTTCAGCAACAGCAGTGTCAGTAGCATCACACACACCTTAGAAGTTTCTAAAGCACAACACCAAACACCAGGATCCAACACCTCACAGAAGGTACTTCTTCACACACTACTAATATTACTTTAAATTTATGCAGCACCATCCCCAGTTGAACCTCAGAAGATGGCTCTTTGCTAGATTAAGTAATAACTGAGCCACAAACAGAATCAGGTCCAATACTGACAACTGCATAACAGCTCAATCAGCTAAATTTGCCACAATTTCTTCAATGAATGTAGAAACACGCAGTATGCTGGGTTTTCTGTAAACACCAGCCCCATGGTTTCCAGTATGAGCTGTTGATCAGTAAAAAATTCAGTGAGGCTGTTGAACTTAAACTGAAGTGTCAAAATAGGTGAAAATTTTAATTCCTTCATTCTCCCAGGGAAAATTCAAAGGATTGCAGAGATGCTCATGACAACCCAAAAATCATGTGGCTCAGAAAACATACTATATCAACCATTTTATTTCTGCCTAGCAAAAAGTGTTCCTGTGGCTCCAGCAGAATCCATCCCCAGTAGCTGCCACAGGGAGCCAAAGGCTCAGACCAACATCTGGCATGACCACTGCATTTCTTCACTCCTGTTATCATGGTCAAAGCTCTCTGTACTGGGCATTGCTGGTAACTGGATTAGCAGTTTCAGGCACATCCAGGAGTTCCCGCCATCAAGAACAGGTTATCTTATGTATCTTTTATATCAACATGCAAGAAGATAAAGATGAAACACTGCTGGCTTGAGAAAGATCTACCAGGTATATAAACAAGAGCATTTCCCAAGCTTTGCAAAATTACTGACCACAGGGTCACAACACACACACTGGCTTGGACAACAGGAAGAAGTCCCACAGCAGCTTTTGGAAACGGAGCATGGGAATTATTACTCACAGTGTTACAAGGGCTTTCACAAGGGTTGTTTTTTTCACACTTGAAGAAAGTCAAAGCAGTTTCTTAATTGTGTGAAGTTCATGTTCCCCCACCTCCTAAAAGGGCTAAACTATACTTGCATTTTAAAAACTGGTGATATATAGAAAAAAACCTACTGGTTAACAGAATCACACTTTTATAGGGCACATACATTGTTTAAACATTACTTGAGAACAGTGTTATAAAGACATATTTTCCATGAAGCAGAAGGTATTAGCAACAACATAGAAGTTCTTGATATACAGCTAGTCCAGCACATTTTGTGTAATAAACCATTTAAATTAATAATGCACTTTCATATTAATTTACCATCTCTTGAACTTTTGTAACAATGTTTAGAAAAACAAATACTATTCATTACAAAGTCATAAGAATTATCAGCCATGTGTACAACATTTGGTCACTTCAGAGTCCATGTATTAATTCATTCATGACTTATATAAGGCAGACACCTGCACAAATCATCAACCTAGATTATTAACTGTTACAACACCCAACAGTTTGCTTATGGTAATAGCATGTAGCTACCTATTCTACCTTGTATAACTGTGGTCACACCCCTCTGTAACATGCCCATAATGTGTTTATAACTTGAAACAGTTCATAAATGATTTATAAAAAATCTTAAAATAAAAAATGCCTATGTATCTTTTTTTTTTTTTAAACCATCTGGGCTCTCAAGACACAATATGTGAAAGTACAAAGCAAAGATGAAAACAACATACATCTGATTTTAAGATGACAGATGAAGAAAAAGGGTTTTTGTTGTTTAAAAAAATATATACAAGGTATTGACTATTCTCAAGCTAACAGTGGAACAGTATGATCGAGAGCATAATTTTATGTAGTTTTAAATGAAGTGCAGTTGGAAAACTGACAGTTTATATATAATTAGCTGAACTGCAAAGTGAACGTAAAAACAGCATCACACTTTCAGTCAGTATAATCACTTACCAATTTCAGCAGGTAGTTGCTTGATTTTGTTCTCTCGTATGCTAAGCATGGTGAGTTTTGACAAGTTTTTGATATCCTTTTCCACAGTAGTTATACGATTAAAGCGTAGGTACAGAGTGGCGAGGGAGCTTAGCCTGTACACCACCGAGGGGATTTCTCTCAGTTTGTTATGCCGCAGGTCAAGCATGCGCAGTTTCTTCAAGTTATCAAGAGAGTCAGGCAAACTGGTGAGTGAGTTTTCACTCAGAGCCAGCGTCACCAGGTTCACAAGACAGCCCACCTCTGCCGGTAGGCACTGCAGTTTGTTACTGTACAAATAAAGTTCTGTTAACTGCGTTAGCTCTTTGATAGCTGATGGAAGCAAGTGTATAGACCTCTTGGACAAGTCCAAGCGCATAGAATTCTCTTCCCGGCATTTATTTAGCTCTTTGATCACTTCAGCGTTGCTGGATTTTTTGCGAGTACCTGTGGCAGGATTAGGTCTTTTTATTGTATTGTCCACTGAAAAAGCTACCCCAGGCTGCGTGCTACTGGAGTCCTTCTTTCCATCTTTGGCATCTTTCCCTTTGGTCTTAGGCTCCTTTTCTTTGCTCTCTTTCCCAAATCCTCCTGAGGCCTTAGCCTCCTTCTCCCTTTCTTTTGATGACTGGACTTTTGGATCCTTCTCTTTGCAGTCCTTTTCTTTTCCTAGGTTACTACTCATGGTGACTCAACGTTCAGCAAGCACCACATGAAATCTATTTCTGAAGTCCACAAGAACAATTCAATGCTGAGGCAACAAGGATCCTTAAAACACGCAAGCGTTGAACCCAGGGTGGAGCTTCAGAGGTGTGACACCCATTTGCTACATATTGATTCTGAAGGCACTCTTTCCTAATCCTACTATCAGGAGACCCAGCTGTAGAGAGAGATCAGGTCAAACGCTCCGTATTAGTATTTCTGGAACACAGAAAAGAGAAGCCAAAGTTAGTGTAAATATAAAACTTCCAGTTATATATTGAGTGTTTCTACATCAAGCCTGTGCTCACTAACTCAGGTTAATGATTTGTCCTTCTGTTCAAATGCCAATGAAAAACCCAAGGCTAAACCAAAAATACTACACACATTGCTTCCAAGACCCACTGTGGTACAAGAGCTGTACTAATTAGTAGGCATGAGGGAAGAAAAATCACAGTTCTTAAACGTAATACTGCCTTCAGTACTACGCTTGAGTCATCATCTTACATCTTACCTAGCTCTTACAATAACCCCCTGGTCATCAACATGAATATTCCCTCTTCCCTCAATGCCCAATCAGCCAATAAATATCTGCTATAATTTTAAATGCCTGCCTCTACAAACAAACCCGTACAGGCTTATTCTTTCAGCAAAGAATCTCAGTTCAACCTACAGCAAAATCTAATATGCAACACTAACACAAACACTGTGCCTTGAGATCTCTCTTCTGACCAACTCAAACCACAGGTCTCTGCTCTTAATGTGGAGCAGAACGTTCTTACCAGCTTCACGTGCTTTGAAGAACTAAGCACAAAGATTTTTTAAATATACCTATCAAAAAGTCAGCCAAAAGCCCAGAAGAAATAATATATTATGCTTCAAGTTAAGCAAAATTATGAAGGAACTTCTCTTGGGAGTAGGACATAATATATCTTTATCATATCTTGAATTTTCCCCCTCAATGACTACAATGCATCCTAATAAGTGAACAGATGTCTGAAACCTACAGTGATCCATTTACGTTTTTACAAAATTATCGTGTATCATGGAAAGTCACTCTTCTTCATGTTTCAATTCAAAACACATGACATGCCCAAGAACTTCATGGTTCTGAGTAACATGGAGAGATTTTTGAATGTATCTTTGTGAAAGAAAAATAAACAATCAATGGCAACAATAATTTCACGTCTCCATATTAGTCCACCTTTTAGCTTTGATATGCAACTACTGAAGAAAGGTCCCTTGTTTCCCAGCCACCTTGTTTAAATACTCTTTAAACCTCCACAGGAGCTGTGTCACTGCCCTGGCATTCCAACTTCTGCACACGTTAATAAAGCCTGTAATCAATATCAATTAAATAATATTTTGCATACTTAAGCCATCAGCAAGTACTATAAATACAAACATTTTTTAGCAAAGCTCGAGTAAACATTTTTAACCGTGGTCATGCTGTGTATACTTACCTTCAAATACAAAAATGTACATGGAGAACACAAAGCTGCACACTATGATCTCTCTCTCTTTATGTATATTCATTTATAGTTTTTTTTAAAAGTAAAGAAAATCTATTTAAAGATGACCAGAAGGACAAGGCACTTTACCCTAGCTGCAAATCCAGACGTTTAGTGACAACACTTGAAAGAGAACCTGCCTCAGGAGGTGCTTTCCAGTCCTTCACCCTGATTCATTACTGCTGCAGCATCACCAAGTGTGCTACAAACACTGTAATATTAAAAAAAATAAAATAAAATAAAAAATCCTCCTCCCCAAAAGAAGCCCAAAATTGCCTCCAGCAATTTTTGACAACTCTGTTGTAGTGGACCATGGCTGAATGCTAGCAGCAGCAAGCAAAAACAGTTTTTAACTTGGAAATTTTTTGCACTGCTGAGTTTTTTAAAGCATCATAAGCCAGTCCTTTACTGTATCCTTAAGATTGCCACACAGCTTTTACACCATCCATTAATTTGACCTCTCCTCAAGATTACTAACCTCACCAGATTATATTTAAAACTTCTCCTCAGCAATGTATAATCTACACGCTTGTAAAACGCCAGTAATAGGAAATGCAATGACTCCCAATGCAAAAACAGAGCTGACTAAAGGGTGGGATCCTGAAAGGCTTGACAACATGTTTTCATTATGAAACAGTAACACAAAGAATCAAGAACACAGCTTCTGAATTCAGATAATACACAGAAAAGAGAGTGTAGCAGTGCCAGAACAGCTACTGCTCCTCATGAGTCTCCGAAGCGCGAAATACTCAAAGGGCCGCTGCTCTCTTGAGCTTTCAATTTAATCAAATTTAGGACCCACCAAGAGATTTGTTTCATTTTTTATGTGCACAGCAGCTGGAGGAGGTCTAGAAAAGAGCTTCAGAAATTAAAGTCTGCTGGAGATTAGTGCTGCAGAGAGCAGCTCAGCAGAGCAAGTGCTCCAAATAATCTGCAAGCATTTCACTGTCTTTGTTAGCAAAAACCTTAATTGTACCTAGAAAGAAATGCTCAACTTCTCATAAGCTGTTCTACACAGTTGCTATTGCAGATCATTCAAGCTGATGGGGTTACTCACAAACACATATGTAAACTTCTGGTGAACATGGGTATAATTACATATACTATAAAGGAAGTTAAATGTGTTTCAAAAGGTTATGCATATTTTTCAAGCCCTTCTGGTTAAAGGACAAGAGTCACCATCAATTCTAAACGACAGTCAAACAAGCATTCATTGTATCTCAAAAGGAGAGCTTCTTTTAGAGATATTTTTAGCAAAAGGAAACTCAGTGAAATTAGCTAGTTCTGCCAACTACTTCCATTTTCCAATGCTGTTCAAACTGACTTCCTGTCAATATTAATTGACATAAAAACATTTAACTATTATGTCCTGGAGAACTTGGAAAATTTAATTAGACTCTTGCTTGGCACAGTATGTGAGGGAAAAAAAACTAAGAGAAGTTAAGAAAAATAATCTCTTCCCTGTTCTGATTTTTTTTTTTTAAAGTAAAATATTTGTAAATAGCTATAAATAACCAACTTCAGAGTTTTGATTCACTCCTCCTGATGTCTGGTGAACATAAACCAGATGCATTTCGTTTTTTCTGTCATCTGTAACTGATGAAACTTCAGAAACAGAAGCAACTTCAGCCTAAACTGTATCACCTTCCTTACTGTCTGCAAAAGAGGAACACATTTACCTTGTATATTTCAATGATTTTTTTTTCTAAATATGTACAAGTAATTGAAAAGAGATTCCAGTTTTTCTGAGCAATACAACCTAAAACATTTACACAATAAGTGCTTTATTAAAAGAATGGCAATGCAGGAACATTCTGCAGTTCTAGGAATAACAATACACTAATCACTGCAATTTGGCAATATAAATACCGATGTTTCCTGGTCACTATCTAACACAATATGAAGCTTGAGATAAAGGATTTCAGCCAACTGCTATTCAAGTAAGGTTGTAAAAGCCTTAACTGTCTCCTACCCGCTACTGCAAAGCAGTGGGACCCCCAAGAACAGGCTGTTCCCTGCATGAATTACTCTCAGCAGCCCCTCACTTCCCAGAGGATGCGTTCCAGAGTCTTGTGACTTGCAATTATATGAAAGTTTCCTGCGAGTTCACAGAGATGGCTTGAAGAAGAAATCGTTAAATGGAATAAAAGAGTCTCCCACAGCTGAAACATTTCCCTCTCCAGCGATGAGGCTAACCAACAGCGGTCTTCTCTGCCAAAGGAAAATCATCGTGGCACGTCATCTTACAAATTGGTCACTTTACAGCTCCACCTAAACCCTTACTGGCTCCCCTTCTGTGTTTCAGTAGCCAAAACAGGCACTTCAATCCATAAACATTTCTGGTATTCTAAGCATATAATATCCAAGGCATCATTTTCACTGAAGTGTAACACAATACACTCAACTGTAACAGAATTTTACTTCTTTAATGTAGCAAGAGACATACAGGCCTGCATTTGAAAAGAAATATTTTACTATGTGTAGAACTCCTTATCACAATAGGAATTATTTTTCTCTTCATTCTGTGTTTGTACTAAATTTAATCCACACCACGGCTAGGGGTTTTCAACCTAAATAACAGCAGAGGATCATTCCGAATATTAAACAAGCTGACAAAATAAGGAATCAGCTCATATTTGACACTCTGGAGTAAGCAGACAATTATTCTACTACATAATAATAAATAAAATGTTCTGAGATTGCAATTCTGATCTAGGTATTTCTGATTAGTCAGCCGTAAGTGATTCTTAACAACAAGGCAGAGTTCAAATGCTATCTGGTAATTGCAGCAACACCTCTGCACAAACAAACACACACACACAAAAAAAAAAATCTACCTTGTTAAAAGTATTTACCTTTTAATTAGAGCAGCATGGGATACATCAAAAACATTTTGTACTCCAGTACACCACAAAGATGAATACATCAATAAGCAATGGATGAAATTTAAAGCTTAGCCCAAGTGGCTACAATGAATTTCCATTCTCCATACCACATATGAAAAAAAAAAGAAAAAAAAAAATAAAGCCAACCCAGTAAAACCCCAACCACCAGTCACTTCTTTCATTTGGAAAACCAAATAGTTTAAGCCAACGAGTCACTTGCAAACAAAGCACATTCTCTCCTACAATTTGCTAGCTTCAAACATCTGACCTACAGAGCTTTCATCTGCATAAGTGCATTTCAGTTCTGCCACTGCAGCCACCACGGACCAGCTGGGAGCAAACTGCTGAATCAGTCACCAGCAGTTGCACAGCTCCTCTAAACACAAAACCTCATTCAGAGGTATGGAGATAGCAAGGGAACAACCAGCTATCACTCCACCCGAGATCAAAAACCACCTCATCCACCTCAACAAAAGCAGTGCTCCTGAAATATGCCAGCTAGACAGCTTCTCTTCTTTGGGAAGAAACCTGTTATTCCAGAGAACAGGGTGCACAATGGCAGTAGGGCAATACTGTCACGGTTTGTTGTGCCAGCTATCCTGGTAGGCTTGCTCAATAGAGAAGATTGACCATTAAATCTGTCTCAGTCCTGTAAGTGGATGGCCAGCAGATGGTAGTTCACAAACTACTCATTTAGCCTGATTTCAACACCCCAGGATGTGGCACAGCTTTCACCCTAATCCCCTCTCACACTGAGGGAGCGGCTTGTTCACTGTGGGCACAGCCTGGGCCTGTGGAGCTGGGAAAGGAGGAGGCCTGGGCCCTG